TTACAAACATTTTCTTTCAGTAATTCTCTCTTACACTTGGGAACAGAGAGAGGCAGGAGGATCAGGAGTTCAGGGTCAACCTTAGCTACATAATGAGTTCAAGACTAGCCTGGACTACACAGGACTGCTTTGAAGAGGGAAAAAAAGTACACTAAACTGAAATTTCATATCATGCAACAATATGGGGAAACAGATTAATTTGTCATGAAAGAAGGTAACTATAAAAATAAATAAAATAGCTGGGTATGGTGTCACACACTCATAATCCCAGCTCTCAAGAAGCTGAAACAGAAGCTTGGACTGCATAGTGCGAGCCTGTCTCATAAAAACAAACACACATAAAGACGCACACATAGGTAAGAGGCTTGTGTTATTCTGTCTTCAATGAGTCTTGTCCCCTGCAGGCTCCCTGGGTAAAGGCACTTGCCACCGAGCCTGTCATCTCCAGAACCCACACAGGAGAAAGAACCCACTCCCACAAGTTGTCCTCTGGCCTCCAGACCGGCACCCTGAGACTTCCTTTTAGTTAAAACCAGAAAGTGTGAAAAATAAATTGAGACATTTTGTTTCTCTACGGAATAGATGCATCTCTGAAAGGAATCTTTGGGCATCAGGGATACGGTTCACCTACTGGCCCCATCCTTTCTCATTCACCATTAAAAACCCCTTTGATCATCCACCCAGTGTGAGTCTACTCCCTCCCACTACCAGTTCTGGTGGGAAGCCCTCTAATGCATCAAGCCCAAAGCTCCTGAGAACTTCTTTCTTCTCTATTCCCACTTCCGCACTTTAGGACTCCTAGGATCAAAGAGAACCCATTTGTCCTGCAGGGCCATCTACCTCAGTAGTTTCTTCATCTTAAAAAAAAGTGAGGAGAAACCATTTAATCCCAGAATTTGGGATTAAACAGAGGCTGCTTACTGGCTTGTTCCCCATGGCTTGCTCAGCCTGTGTTTTTATAGAACCTAGGACCACCAACCCAGGCATAGTACCCACAATGGATGGGGCCCTCCCTGATTGATCACTAATTAAGAAAATGCCTTGTAAGCTTGCCTACAGTCTGTAGGCTTAATTGAGGTTCCCGCCTCTCAAAAGACTTTAGTTTGTGTCAAGTTGACATAAAAATGGCCAGCACAGACACAGAGCCTCATGCCTGCTCCTCACCTGTGTATTCACCATGGAAGGGAGTGGGGGGGCTCTGTAGTCTTGCCTGGCACCCCAGCATTGCTTAAAAGGAACCATAATCTCAGAGGCTGGAGGTTCTGCCATAAATAAGCTAAGTTTGCATCCTGAAGAGAGACTTAGAATAATCCTCTTTGGAAACAGTTGTGGCCAAAGGTAGCTCCAAAGTCCCTATGCATTTGGGAATGGCTTTGAACTCTGGTCCTTCTGCCTATACCTTTTCAAGTGCTGTGATTATGGGTGTGTGCCACCATACCTGCCTGCCTTAGGATACTCTGATTTAATCTCTTCATTTCATAGACTAAGAATCTGAAGGCTAGGATTGCCAGAGACAGAGCAAAAGCCTGTGGGTCAGGCAGAGATTTCTCAGTGCTATCATTAAACATTGGGCATCAATCCCTAACTCTTGAGCTATCTGACTAAGGAGAGCCATTACTGAGTGACCCTGGACATGTGTCTTTCTCTCTCTGGGCTTTAACTAACATGAGTGATTAGCCTCTGTGGTTTCTTTGAGGCTCTCGTGTTTCCAAAGCTTGAAGGAAACACCCATCTGACTCCATCCAAAAGACTAAGGTGCTTCAGATAGGAGCATAGCAGCAGCAGAGGGGTGGGGGGTGGTGATTGGATGAGACCGAGCAGGGGCAGATGAGACCCCAGGGCCTTCGCAGTACACAGGGAAGCATTTAGCATGTGCTCAAGTCAATAAATTTCCTTTCCTTTGTGTGTGTGTGTATGTGTGCTTTCCATTTCTGTTCTGTACGTCTCCCACTAAATAGAGAAAAGCATTTATGAGAGATGAGTCAAACCCAAGTCTTCTCTCCTATTAGTATAGTCCAGCTAGGGCCCAGGTGGTCTGCGGGTGAGAATGCTTGCTGTGCAAACCTGAAGGTCTGGGTTCAATCCTAGAACCCAATCTTTGGTAGAAGGAGAGAAACCAACTTAAGAATCAACTTATGAAAGTTGTCCTCTGACCTCCACACATACACCAGGATCCACAAAACCCTCACCTTCTCTCTCTCCATCCCCCCCACCAAAATAAAAACTTATTTTAAAATGCGAAAGAAGCCCAGTTAGTATGGGGACGTGATTCGGTTGGTAGAGCGTTTGCTTAGCATGCACAAAGCCTTGGGTTCAATTCCTAGCATCACATGAAATCTCAACATTCAGAAGGTAGAGACAAGCAGATCAGGAGCTCGAGGTCATCCTTGGCTCTCTAGCAAGATTGAGGGCAGCCTGGGCTACATGAGGCACATGGAGTGGTGTGATATTACTTCCTCATGTGCTCTTGCTAACTCTTGACCCTTCCTGAAGATTTTCTAAGTATGGGTTCATCTGCGACCTAGTGTCATGTTTGGGGACATGGTAGCAAGGTTTTTGGATGGAGCTTGGCTCTTCTACAGTTGCTGGAGCAGGGCAGCCCTGCTCATCATGTAAAGCTCCAGGCTCTTCACTACCGGCTCAGCCTTGGGTCAGCCCTTGTTGAGTGACTCTAGGTAGCCAGCAACAGAGGAGCAGGTCAAACAACTAGTCACAGCAACATAGAGTTGCTGGGCTATTTGCTGCTCCTTGCACTGGGAGCTCGATCTTAGACCTCTCTGTCTGGCCTGCAGCAACCAAGTCACTAAAGTGAATGGACCTTCCTTATCAAGAAGGAAAACAAAGGAGGAAGGGAGGAATAGAGAGGGAAATGAAAGGAAGGTGAACTTGAAACCACAGACTGTCAGAACTTTCGAAGACGGCCTTGTTCACCTCTAGTCCTCTCGGCCGGTTCCTTGAATCTTGAGAGGTGACACGTCAAAGTTCCCTCCCCGTGGATGTCGCTGTCCCCGGTGCTGAAACATCTCAGCCAGGTCATGGTGCTTTATCTCACTCTGAAACACTGAGGATTTCCTGTTCTCTATCTGGAATTCTTAACCAAGCAAATGGAGAGGCAGATCCTGAGGCAGAAGAGAGGTCACCAAAGGAGAAGGGCATAGGGACAGAGGCTTCAGAGAGACGTGGCGGTGGCAGCCTGCCAGAGAGAAAAGAATCTTTGACATTGTTTTCAAACAAAGGCAGTTATCTGGAAAAGAACCAACCACCATACAACTCGAGCCTAAATACAAAATGAGTGAAGAAGAATAAGAAATGTGTGTCTCGAGCGAGGCAGGGCTGAGCGTGAGTCAACACTAGCAAACTAATTCAGACGGGCATGCAAACACAATGGGAGGAGTGATGGGTTGACGATCGTTATTCTTTGTTTTTCTTTTCTTGCCTGATGAAAAATTTGCAAATTTTTATGCCGCCAAGAAGCAATCAAAACTGTGATTATGTTTCACAATTTTGACAGCTAGTTTCATGTACTTTAAGTAGTTCTGGTCTGTGTTAGACAATTCAAACAATTTGCTTTTCCTCTGGAAGCTGAAGAAGGCCACACGTACCTTCCTTCCCACTAAGCCTGTAAGTATAAGGGCTTATTTTTTTTTTCTCACCATGATCCTGGAGGTAGGGACTACTTCGATTGATGAGAAATGGAGTGTCAGACTGTAGGGCCCTGTCAGAGACGAGAATTGGAGTAGGTATTCTGGTTCTGTATTCTGCCTTCTAAGCCCCAAGGAGTCTACCCCTTGATATCTTCCTTGACCGCAGCACAACCAGACCCAGGCTTCCTGACTCCCGTGTGGCTCCTTCCTTTCCATCATCACCATGAGGTCCAGTGTATTGCTGAAGGGATGGAGAAGAGAAAGTGAGATCCTGCTGAGACCCAGGCTCCAGCCTCCTCTGTATCCCACAGTTCTGATAGGGAGGAAGATACAGTTTCCAGGCCCCATTGAAATCTGAGCCAGGTGCCCCTCTCACATGCCCCTGTGTTCCTCTGCCTGGTGAGGAGACAGAGGGATGGAGGGCACAAGGAGAAAGAAGCATTGTTCCCTCCTTCGCCTGGTGTAGCCATGGTGGCCCAGCTGTCAGCAGAGCGTGGAGGAGTTTGTGTAACTTTGCTGGGGGTTAAGAGCAGGTCAGTGTGGGGCTGCAGCTCGGGTCACTCTCCCAAGCCAGGCAGCCCCGTGGGAACAGGAATGCATACCTGCCATCCATGCCCTGAAACGCAGAGGGCAGCCTGAGCCTCGGGGCATGAAGACACAGACCCCACATTCCCTGCTACCCTACTCTAACCCTCAACTTCAGCCCTGAGACAGCTCACAGAAGCCTGACCTGACAGGGAACCAAGAGCCAGGCTCTCCAGCACATGCATTTGACAGGAAATAAACTCAGACCCAGAGAGGAAAGAAGAGTTAGCCCGAACTGGGGCTCTTACTGAGTTCATTCATCCATCCAACAAACAGGTGCAGTGCTGGGCACAGCCATTATCCTTGGAATTTACAACAGTTTTCATTCAGATTGCCATTCAGGAGGAAATGAGAGGCTCGGAGAGGGCACGAAAGACATTTTCTCCTCAGCCCAAACAGTGCCCACCTCCAAGGTTGCATAGCTGGTTTGAAGTGTTACAAACCCCAGACCCTATTCCCCACAGGGCACATGACAATCTATACGTATGGTGTGTAGGAAGTCAGATGGATGAGGGTTATCTTAGCAAGCCATCATATCCTGTCCCCCATCTCCTGACAAACTGTATGACAGAGTCGCATCAATTCCATGCAACAATGTATCTGAGCAGAGTACTTAATGGATTATCTTCTGGGAAGGTTTCCAGGAACCAAGGGGCCTACCATATTGGAAAGTCAGTCCTGATAGATTCCTTCCTCCTTTGATTCATTTCCGCATTGGTCACAGGGGATGTGAGTGCAGCCGGCTTGTGCTTCCGACGAAGCTCTCCCCATCCCAGGGTGCGAGAGGCCTGGCAAAGGGTCATGGGTGTGGGAGTCCAGAGGTGTGTTGACACTCTAGGATTTTGTCAGCCGTCAACAAAGAGCTAAGCGGATAAAGGGAAACACAGAGTTCAAGCAGTACTTCAAGGTTTATGGTTATCCTTATATACTCTCTATTTCATCTCTCTCTCTCTCTCTCTCTCTCTCTCTCTCTCTGTGTGTGTGTGTGTGTGTGTGTGTGTGTGTGTGTGTGCGTGCGCGTGCCTGGGGAGCGATTTGTCCTCATTTCACAGAGGAGAAAACTGGGGGTCTGAAGATACAAGTTGCCTAAGGGCATGGGGCCTGTGAGCAGCAGAGATGGAAGCTACCCTCAGGTCTCTGGACTCCCTATTTCTCAGAGAGGTCGTGTGATTTGGATGCCTCCATATGTGCTGAGGGATGGGACCTGAAATGGCAGTAGCAGGCGTGTTCCTCCAAGGGAGAGAAATATCTAGCTGGGCAGAGGCCTGGAGGTTGGGGAGTGGAAGTGGAGGAGGGGCCTCTATCCGGCCAGATGCACGGGAGGCAGAGTGAGTTCATGGCTCGGGTTAATGATCCCTGCTGCCCCGATCACCCAGTGGTGGGAACAGGTGGCCAACATGGAGTTGGCCGAGTGGGGAGGCGCCCTCCGAGGCTCATGCGGAGGCAGCTCCTTACTCACACTCTCCCTAGGGAGACAGAGCCGAGAACTTATCCCACGGTCCCCCACCGTCATTACTGCCCTCATTCAGATCCCAGCGGGCACTCCCTTAGACCACTTGCCTCCCAAGGGTCTCCTGTCCCGGCTTCCTCAGCGCTGCAGAGTTCCACTGCACACAGAAGCCTGCTCAGGCCACTTCTTGCCAAAGAATTACCCCCCCCCCCCCGAAAGCCTGAGCCTGAACTGGCTTTCTTTACAGCCCGATTCACCTTTACAATCCTGAGCACAGGCTCTTCTGTATGCAGTTTGTTCCTCTTGTGTGGGACCATCCCCTCTCTCTGACATTGATCTGTCCTCAACATACAACAGGTTCTCTCTTGGGGTATTCAACCCCTTTGCACCTGACAAGGGTATGTTCCATGTCTGAGGCTCACAGTGGGCAGGCTGGGATCTTGGCCAAGAGATGACAACGGTTGTTGTTTCCTGGTGCACCGCCTCCCCCTCCGTCCCCCCTCCCCGCCATTGCCACTCAGAACATGGTGCACACCTGCATTGGGGGAGTTAACTGACACTCCTTGGGGATTCAGGCTAGGCAGGGCCTGGGTTTCTGTCTATTTTGTCTCCTGATGAGGAATGCAAGCTCCTTTGGTGTCTCCCTGGTTCCCTCTGGTCCCAGTGTGACACTTGCTTCTGGGTCAGGCACAAAAGCCAGCAATGGCATAGGAAGAGGGCAGGACAGAAGTCTCCCAGTCCCCCACAAAGCCCCTTGGGGAGATGGGCCAGGCTCTGAGGCTTGCCTTATAGACTTTGTGCACTGGGGTTCCTGGAAGACAACAGGCTTGTCCACAGTATGGACGGAGGGCTGGCATCTCAGGGAGACAGAGGTTCAGGCCACCCAGTTGCAAATATCGAGATGTCTTTTTTCAAGACCCAAATTTTTACCTGTCCTCCAACCCTTGAGGGACAGCAAGGCAAGGCCTAGATACCTTTGCTCCATCCTAGAGAAAGGAGACAAGGAAATGAATTCCCAAGGGCTGCGAAGGGTTGGGAACACCTGAAGAGCTCAGAGAACTGGCCACTTACCCAGATGTTCACAGCAATATGAGTTTGTCCCCACAGTGACCACCTCACTCTGGCAGAGTCCACTGGTAGCAGGGCATAGTTGGGGAATTCTTAGCATGGCAGGAAGACATAGTGGGGTACACGTTTGGCTGTAGCTGGGGCAGGCTTGCTGGGCTCCTCCATGCCTCTGGGCAAATCGCTGAGCTCATAACACAAGTATCTGCTGAGACTCACGGTATAGAGGGCAGGAACGGCCTCTTCAGACATCTTTGGAAAGCAGTAAATTTGCTGGTTCTTCTCACATGCTGTTCCAGGTGTCAGCAGAGTCCTCCTCAGTTCAGTTGCTCCTGGTGCCACCAGCTTCCAGCTCCGCAGGTGACAGCTATGCTACACTAATACCCACATGCTTGGTGGGAAAGATCAGCTTCCCCTCCCAGAAGCCCCAGCATTTCATTGGCTCTGTCTGACCTCTATACTTTCGTGGCGCTTTGAATGAGAACAGACACCCCCCCACACACTCTGGCCCCTATTGATGATCCAGTTTGGGAAGGATTAGGAGGTATTGCTTTGTTGGAGCAGCTCTGGCACTGGGGCGTGGGCTTTGAAGTTTCAAAAGTCCATTCCCAGTATGCTCCTCTCTGCCTCCTACTTGCCAATCAAGGTGTTCTCCGTACTCTGCCAGCATGGACTCTGACCCTTTGGAACGCTAAGTCCAATTGAACACTTTTTTTTTTTTACAAGTTGCCTTGGTCAAGGTGTTTTCACAACAATAGAAAAGTAACTAAGACAACCTTGGATCAGTCACTATGGCTGTAGGCAAGGATGAGTGACAAGTCACATAGTCAGAATATATCCGGAGCACATCTCTGGAGTTGTGAGTGAATCATATCCAGCCCCCAGGAATGTACAAGCAGTGTCCTTAAGGGAATCAGGGTATCAGTCTGTGGCAGAAGGGCAGCCAAGGGCAACACCCTATCCCATCTCCCTCAGCAACGGGAACACTGTCCCCATTCACAGCCTGGCTTTGGGGGAACCATTTTCCCTGCCCTCCCCTTTGGTCTCTTCCCATCCTGCTCCTGACTGTACAGTTCTGACTCGGACATAAGGTCCTTAGCAGCAGAACCAGAACAGCAATGGGGGAGGTGGGGAGTGAAGAGGCAGACACAGAGGAACTAAACAAAGACGGCCTCTGGGAGACTCAGCGAGATCTCAGGAAGTCCCAGCAACACCACCTGCACCCAAATGTCCATCTTTCCTTGAGTTGAGGGGCTGGGCTTTTTCATCTCCTCCTGCCACTTAGCCACTGGTGTCAGGCCTCCTAGGGGTGGAATCTACAGGGAAGGGAGCCTGCTCCTCGAGGACAATTCTCCAGACATGGACTCCTGGGAGCCATTAGCAGCTACCGTTCATAGCCTCTTCCCAGCTACGGTCAGTCTTTTGGCCTCTCTTTTCTCTGAGCCTGGGCCCTCTCTCTCTCTCTGCAGCTACTCTAGCTAAATTCTAATTCAATTATCTTGCAGGTGCCAACTGCATTTGAAGGCTCACATTGTCTTCTCAAGGCCTTTGCTTATCTGATTTGAGTGCCCCCTATGAAAACTTAGATACAAAAGATGCTTGTAAGGTGTGTGGCCAGCAAAAGGTTGGCCCTCTCATATATAAAAAGGTTCCATAGATCAATAATAAAATATACAAACACTGCAATATAAAAATTGGTCAAAGGATGTGATTAGGCAATACTGCAAAAGAGGAAATAATGGGAGTCGATGTAGATATGAGAAGGTCCCTGACCTCACTAGTAATCGAAGAAATTCAAATTAAAGCAGTAACCGGCAATCATTGTTCCACCTTGTGGTTGGTAACTATTCCATGCTGATGACAGTGAGAGAAAAGGCCCACTACACGTGGATGGCAGGGATCTCAAGAACTTTCTGGAAGTTGGTTTAAAAATCGTAAGGGGCCTTATAACAAATGTACATGACCTTAGGAGCTACAGTTCAGCCTCCTGATATTTATCCAAAGTAAGGAAAATATGGAGAGGGAGAGATGACTCGGTGGGAAAAATACTTACCATGAGAGCATGAGGTCCCGAGTTCAGTCCCCCGCAGCCACATCAAAGCCGGGCACAGCAGCATGTGCCTGTAATGTCCGTCCTGGGAAAGGAGAGCAGCTTGCTGACAAGCCAATCTATGCAAAATCATCAAGCTCCAGCCAGGTTCAGTGTAAGATTAAAACAATACAGTGGACACCTGCCATCCCCAGGGAGCCTGAAACCGTTGGTCACAGCGCATAGACAGAGTTGGTGTGTGACGCAAGCTTTTGACAGGCAGCAGCTAGGTTCCAGGGAGCAGGGATATCAAAGGGAAGGACCTGGAGACAGACTATCCAACAGACCATGGCAGAAGCTGCAAGGCTTCACGTTCTAATGGGTATATGTGGTCACTAACACCTGCTCAGACCCAGAGCAGCCAAGTGAGGCTCCACTTCTTGAGTCCATGATAAGACTGCCTGGCAAAAGAACGGGTGAGATGGGAGGCGCTGGTGTGGCCTCTGTGGAGGACAGCACCGTAGTCTTCCATGCTGAACCGGGAGCTGGGGGTGGGGTGAAACTTAAAAGTGCTTGACCTGCCTAGAACCACGAAGGAAACACCCATGTATAAAACTACTTAGAAGAGGGCTGGAGAGATGGCTCAGAGGTTAAGAGGACTGACTGCTCTTCCAGAGGTACTGAGTTCAATTCTGAACAACCACATGGTGGCTCATAGCCATCTATAACGAGATCTGGTGCCCTCTTCTGGCATGCAAGCGTACATGGAAGGAATGTTGTATACATAATAAATAAATAAATCTTAAAAAAAAAAACTACTTAGAAGAATACCAAGAGAGGCAGGGGAGGGGAGAACAGAAGGAAGGAGAAGGAGAAGGAAGGGAAGGAAGTTCCAGTCTAGACCATATCATTTGAGATGGCTCAGGCCTCATTTGAAACCAACTTCACCCCTTCCTTATCTGTCCTAATATCCTACAATCTCCATTGGCTGAAGCCAGTTTAAACTGTTTTATTTTTGTTTCTTGAGGCAGGGTCTCTTGTAGCCCAGGCCAGCCTAGAACTTTCCGTGTAGCCAAGGTGAACCTTGAATTCCTGATCTTCCTGCTTCCGTCTCTCAAGTGCCATAGTTGCAGGCATGTGCCACCATGCCTGGATTTTCTTTTTGTTTTTTAGTCACTTGAAGAAACACCCTCATCAATACAAAGGAGTTTTGTAAGTAGTTTCCTCCTTTTAAAATACTTTGCCATATTGCATAGTATTTTTGCAATGACTTTGCTATATTTACAGTGTTTAAAAATGCTGAGCAGGGCTAGGGATATAGCCCAGTTTGTAGAATACTCACACAGCAAGCATGAAGTCTGGGCTTTGATTCCCCCAAACCCCATAAATTGGATATGGTGATATACTTCTGTGGTCCCAGCACTTGAGAAGTAGAGGAAGGAAGAAGCCCAAAGTCATCCACAGTTATGTAGTAATTTCCAGACAAGTCTGGGAGATAGGAGACCCTGTCCTCTTCATCATCACCACCATCAACCACCATCATCATCACCATCATTATCATCACCATCATCATCATCACCATCATCATCATCACCATCATCATCATTATCATCACCATCATTATCATCACCATCATTATCATCACCATCATCATCATCATCACCATCATCACCATCATCATCATCATCATCACCATCATCATCATCACCATCATTATCATCACCATCATTATCATCACCATCATCATCACCATCATCATCACCATCATTATCATCACCATCATCATCATCACTATCATCACCATCATTATCATCACCATCATCATCATCATCACCATCATCATCACCATCATTATCATCACCATCATCATCATCACCATCATCATCATCATCATCATCACCATCATCATCATCATCCACCATCATTATCATCACCATCATCATCATCATCACCATCATCATCATCACCATCATCATCATCACCATCATTATCATCACCATCAACAACCATCATCACCATCAACAACCATCATCACCATCATCATCATCATCACCATTGTTACCATCTAGCCAGACTTGGTATCTAAGATCCATAGTCCTGGTGAATCAGTTAATTTTTCTTATCTTGACAAAATACCTCCAAAAGGAACCTACCAGAGAGAAAGGTTACTTTGACTCACTGTTTTAGGGTACAGTTCATCATGGTGAAGGTGGAGTGTAAGGGGCTTGAGGCAGCTGATCAATGTGTATTCATAGCCGGGAAACACGGAGAGGTGAATGTTGGTTCTCAGTTCATTTTTCCTTTTAATTCAGTCAGGGATCCCACCCCATGGGATATTGAAACCCACACCCAGGGTGAAACTTCCCTCTTCAGTTAAACCTTCCTGGAAGTAGTCAGGCAGTGGTGACACACGCCTTTAATCCCAGCATTTGGAAGGCAGAGGCAGGTGGATCTGTGAGTTCAAGGCCAGCCTGGTCTACAGAGTGAGTCCCAGGACAGCAAGGCTACACAGAGAAACCCTGTCTTGAAAAACAAAAGCAAAAACAGCTTTCCGAAATAATAACTCTAATAACCACACAGGTATGGGATTCCATAATGATTCTGGGTCTACTTGAATTGCCAAATGAAGATTAACTGTCACAAATCTGCCCCGTATCAAGCACGTCCCTTTAAAATTGTGGCATTCCCTCACTATCCCATGAAGTTATACCATCTCTAAAAGGCTTTGTAACATTAACAGTTCTAACCCTCTTCAAAATCCCTAAATCCAGAAGGGCTTCTGAGACTCATGGCAACCTTTTAATTGTGAGTCTCTATAAAATCAGAACACAGGTTACATATGTCCAGTACACAGTGGTATGAAATAAACACCCCTATTCCAGAAGAGAGCAAGGAGTGCACAGTAAGAAAAGATTGCACCAAAGCAAGATGCAAATCAGCAGGACAAAGCTAACCATCCGTATGCAACAGCTCCAGGCCCTCAGCTTGTGCTGACTGTATTCTATGCCTGAAGTTTTCCTTGTCACACATCCCATGGTCCTGGCATATTCCAGCATACTGGGCTCTTCCTTGCAACTGAAATTTCACCATCTCAGTCTCCTTCTGGAACCTTGGTGCAAGCATCCATTGTCCACATCTTTCATGCCTCCCAAGCCAATACCATGTGGATGATGCCAAATTCTGCCACCAGCCCAAGATGTAGCCTGGAGCTCCCTTAGACCACAGCTACAGAGGTCTCTGTATACTCTTGAGGTAAGCAATGAACTTCTTATTCCAAGTTCTCTCTTTCCAAACAAATTTGCATTTTCCCAATTTGAAGCCTTCTGATTGGGTGGGGTCTTGCCCTCAGAGCATCTTTCCTATTACCCCAGTAACGAGTGAAAAGTTTCTCATTAATGGCACTAAGTTCCTTGACAATTACAGCTATATTCTCAGGCCCCTTCTTTCTAACCTCTAACTTTATACTCATGTACACTCTCTTCCATACCAAACTGACTATTTTTTGTCTTTGTGCTCTCTCTCTCTCTCTCTCTCTTTCTCTCTCTCTCTCTCTCTCTCTCTTACACTGTAAACCTGAATAACCTTGGTGGTCAATAACTATACCATATCTGAATGCTACCTTGGCTTGAAATTTCCTTCAGGCAGAAGATTTAGTCCATTACTGTTGAATTCATCCTTACAATCTCAAGACAAGGACAAAATATAATTTAATTATTTTCCAGACTATAACAGGAATGACCTCTAGCCCAGTTCTCAAGAGTCTTTCTTCTCTTTTGAAACCTCATGAGTCAGGCCTCTAATGTCCACATTTCTCTCAGCATTCTGGTCTTCAAAACTCACCCAAAGCATTAAGCTAAGTTGACTGCATTCTAAGGCTTCTTTACCATTCATCTCTAAATCCTTCCATGTTCTTTCTGCAGACCTGATGCCTACAAACCACATAGTCAGGTTGATCACCGATACCCCACTCCTGGTACCAATTTCCTATATTAGTTTCTTTTCTTATTATTGGGACAGAATACCTGACAAAAAGTGACTTAATGAGGGAAGGGTATATTTCGACTCACAACTTGAGGGTGTAGTCCATTATGGCAAGGAAGGCATGGTGGCAGGAACATGAGGCAATTGGTCACATAGCATTAGTAGTCAGGAAGCAGAGAGAAGCAAATATTACTGCTCAGCTCGCTTCCTCCTCTTTATTCAGTCTGGAACCCCTCCTAGACATACCCCAAAGTGTGTTTCAGTAATGATCCTAAATCTAACCAAGTTATAATCAAGGTTAACCATCACACCTGACTACTCAAGAGCCTGAAATAGGAGGGTTATAAGTTCAAGGCCTGCCTAAGTAACCTCATGAGTCCCATCCCAAAAATAAAAAAGAAAGGTTGTCAGGTAACTCTGCATGGCATGGGCAAAACCCTAAGTTCACAGTAATATAAGTCACCAACTGCAATAGCCAGTGCTTTAATAACATTATTATTATTTTTTGATTGGTGGTGATTATTTTTTGATGGATTCTAGAAAGCTCAAGCACTTTTCAGCCGTACTATCCAGCACCCTAGTGTCTCCAGCACAGCCTGGTTTCTGCACCAGAAGACCCCAATCAAGGCAGAAGGCAAATGTGGGCAGATTCATTCTGTTGGAAATACAGTCCCATAGGCTGGGGACTGGGGAATGGAGTGAGAATTATTACTAAAATAGAAGTAAAGGGGTTTTCTAGGCAAGGGGCCACACAAGAGATGTGCTTGACATGATCCCAAACAGGTGGCCCCAAGATAAGGACGATAGTCTGAGGGGATACTGAAGTAACAGGCGAGACTCCTACCTGGGAGGGCCTGGAAGGCCAGGATAAAGAGTTAGGCTTCATCCGGAAGACAGCCAGGAGCCGTGATGAGAGGAATCTAAATAGGGATGTCAGGGTGGATTTGAGATGGGAAGGTAACTCTGGTGATGATGTGGAGGATAGGTGGGAGAAACCTGAGGCAGACGGTAACTATGCGATAGTTCAACTGTTTAGGAAGGACCTGAACTGCCCTGTATCCTTCT